CGAAGTTGTTTAGGGAAACTGTGAAAGGATGGAGAGTAGAGCAAGTGCGCTCGTCACCGTATCACCCTCAGTCGCAGGGAGCATTGGAGCGTTTCCATGGAACGCTAAAGAGCTTGTTGAGGATATACTGCGCTGAGGAAGGGAGTAGTTGGGACGAGGCATTACCATCCGTGTTGTTCGCCATCAGGGATGCGGTAGTAGAATCAGTCGGATTCACCCCATTTCAACTGGTGTACGGACACTCCGTGAGGAGCCCAGTGGGCGCGCTGAAGGAGCAGCTCACCGTGGATAGGCCTAAGGTGGACGTGGGAAAATATGTGAAGACTTTTAGAGAGCGACTCTCTAGGGCCAGAGATTTGGCCAAGGAAAATTTGAGGACATCCCAGGCAGAGATGGTAAGGTTCCACGACAGGAAGGCGAAGGGCAGGAAATTTCAAGAAGGAGATCAGGTGTTAGTCCTGCTACCGGTAAAAGGAAGTATATACGAGTCGAGATTTTGTGGACCATATACCATCCAGAAGGCATTAGGGGATGTGAATTATGTAATCCACATGCCAGATCGTCCGAGGAAGTCACGGGTTTGCCACGTGAACATGATAAAGAGGTACTATGACAGAGATAAGCCTCTAGGCGATGAAGAACCGATGGAAACCCCATTGCAGGCGACGGTGCTGTGTGGAGGAGACGGAAAAGGGATAGAAGAGGAGAACTGTAAGTTAGAGAAGGCCGATGGCGCGAAGATATCAAATACAGAAAGCCTGGCCAAGATAGGTGAGCGTCTGGGTCATTTGGAGGATGACCAACGACAGGAGCTAGCGGAGATCCTACGGAGGAATAAGTCGTTATTCACGGACGTGCCTAGAAGACACCGCGGAACGGTGCACGAAGTGAATGTAGGGAGTGCTGAGCCCATCAAGCAGCACCCGTACAGAGTTAACCCGGAGAAAGCAGCGGCAATGAGAGCAGAAGTGAAGTATCTGCTAGATAACGACTTGGCAGAGGTTAGCGACAGTGACTGGAGTTCGCCGTGCCTCCTCGTGAAGAAGAGTGACGGCACGTACCGGTTCTGTACCGATTATAGGAAAGTGAATGCACTCACGGTCGCTGACTCGTTTCCGATACCGCGCATTGACGATTGCATAGATCGGATTGGGAGTGCACGGTATGTCTCGAAGATAGACCTGTTGAAGGGATACTACCAGATTCCCCTGTCTGAGGAGGCCAAGAGGATCTCAGCGTTCGTGACACCCGACGGCTTGTACCAATATAAAGTGGTGCCGTTCGGAATGAAGAATAGTGGTAGTTGTTTTCAACGAGTAATGAATCAGGTATTACAAGGCGCGACTGGATGTGCAGTGTACATCGATGATATTGTGATGTTCGCTGATTCCTGGAAGGATCACGTGGATCGACTTTTAGATTTGTTCGATCGGTTGGAGAAGGCCAACATGACGATCAACTTGGCAAAAAGCGAGTTCGGGAGAGCACGCCTGGAGTACCTTGGATATATAGTAGGGCAAGGCGAGGTTGCTCCGGTAAGAACAAAGGTGGAGGCCATTGACAACTTCCCGGTGCCCAGGAGTAAGAAAGAATTGTTGAGATACCTCGGTATGATTGGGTATTACCTGGGTATTACCGGAAGTTCTGTGAAAATTTCTCCACCGTAGCCGCTCCTATGACGAGTTTGCTATCAAAGAGCAAGAAGTGGGAGTGGAATGGAACAGCACAAGAAGCGTTTGAGAAGACCAAAAGACTGTTGACTGAGGCACCTGTACTAGTGTCGCCAGATTTTGAAGCGCCGTTTACGTTATTTGTAGATGCCAGTGATATAGGGGCCGGAGCTGTACTGACGCAGCAGAATGATGGAATTTACCGCCCCGTGTCCTTCTTCTCGAAGAAGTTCGTTAAGCACCAGAGGTCGTACAGTACAGTTGAGAAAGAGACTTTGGCCCTGGTGATGGCATTGAAACATTTTGAAGTGTATGTGAGTGTGGGGGGACACCCAGTGACGGTGAATACAGACCATAATCCCCTAGTTTTCCTGAAGAAAATGAAGCATGCAAACCAGAGAATAACCAGATGGTTTTTATCGCTCCAAGAGTATGACCTGGTGATAACGCACATAAGAGGGCGAGACAATGTAGTGGCTGATGCGTTATCTCGAGCCTAGCCACTAGAATAACTCTCAAAAATAAGGGGAGGGGAGTGTTATGATCTCAGCCTACAGGAGAAACGAGTCTCCCTCCTTGAGAGTTATTCGTCAAGCCTGACCTGATTAGAAGGTCTAGCGAATATTGAAGTGATAACGCATATGTAAAATAGTTGCTTGGATATGTATAACAGTTTGAGATCATGGGCAATGAAGAAGAAAACAGATAAATGACTGGCGAGGAGATGTGGACATTTTGCTGGAGGCGTGAGGCTCGCTTCCGGAGGACCTTGACCTCACTTGAGTGCCAGACATCGCAGGGGGAAGCCGCGCTCCATTTGAGCTCCCGCCAGAAGGGAACCCCTAGTGATATATCTCGAAGAGAAGAGAAGTGTGTAGACGTGCCAGCTGTGGAACCGAGCTGGGAACGTTGTGGTATCAAGTCCTGGTCGACGAGCAGAGTTTAATAAGCTACTCAGAGGCATTTTCGTGGGCTGTGTGGAGCGCCCTGACCAGACGCCGTCAGAGGAAAAGCGCCCTCGATCAGTTAATCTGTGGTAAGCACGATATACGCCAGTTCATAGTGATCACTTGTAGTTGGTCGTGTGCCCAGCGACGGTAGCAATGTTTATTTATAAGTTAGACATGTTTTAATAAGGCAGAAAGCCTAAAATAGGAGAGTGAAGAGGGAGGAGCACGGAGCGACGTCCGCCCCCTCTGAGCGCTGGCGGACGACTGAGGGAGCCTGGCTCTTGAAGGAGGAAGACCCTCCCAGCGAGTGAGGACCGCCGCCAGGCGAGGTGGAGTATGGACCCGCCCAAAACGGGGGAGTCCACTCTCACTGTATGTAGAGAACAGATAGAGGTTTGAGGCAAGCATATTGTGTGGTTATTTTTGTTTATGTGTTAAAGGGGAACATTTTATTGGAGTGTCGATGGGTTGCAGGTTTGTCTTTTGGGGAAGAAGTTGCTGAGAACTTCGAAGCCAGCAGATGAAGTAGCTGATGAGACTCCAAGGTAGTGGAGCAGAGGACCTCGAGCTGTGAGGAGAAGCAGCAGTGAAGAGGAGTGTCACGTGCTTCTGTAGAGGTGGAGAAGCACCATAGTTGCTCGGGGAAACTTCATGGTGTAGCAGCCAAGAGAGCTGTGGAGGACCCTAGCAGAAGGGTGAAGCACCGTAGTTGCTCAAGGAAACTTCATGATAGCAGCCTGGAGGAGCTGCAGAGGATCCTGGTAGTGAAGCCCGGAAGAACCTAAGGATATTAGGGTAGTGAACTTCCAGAGGTGGAAGGGGAAGTTCTGGTGGATTACTTATAGGGAGTTGATAGTGTTTGGTTGTCATTAGCGTGCAAGACGCAGTGAGAGGTGAGTGACTGTTGGCATTCTTATGTCAAGGAGTTTTTTATACTGAAGTATCAATGAACATTTATACTGGTATATGTTATTGCATTCAAATGCTGATTTTCTATATATATATGTTATCTTGCTGATGGTGCAACAGTGTATGTAGGCTTGATCAACTTGAGGAGGTTGATAGTATCAGGTGGTGAACCAGGAGATAGGATACCACTTGATAAGCTGATAATAGAGTTCTGATGGTGTTGGAGTGCAACCTGATTGTGATATTATAGAGTATAGGATTCATTATTATTATATGTGTGTATGTATCGTGTATGTGCCTTGTCCAGTAAATGTGTCACAATTTGCTGGTGTTTGCCCTTGTCCTAGTGAGGCTTCCCAGGAGGTAGTAAAGAAGGAGAGAGAGAGAGAAAGAACCAAGAACCACTGCCGTGGACAGGGTAGGAGGTAATACTAGTAAGTCATAGGGGATTGAGGAGATCATATCTCATAAGGAGAGAGTGGGGAGTCACAGCGGCTCGAGTGGGTGTGTGCACGTGACAACGAGGCTAAGTGTTGGTGAGCCCCTCTCCAAGAGCCAGAAGCGCCAAGGGTGATCTCCTAGTATAAGCACTCTGCCGAGTTGTGGGTTGGGTTGTCCATAGAGAAGGATCAACGACGACAACACCAACCAACCCACAGTCTATAATAATACACAATATGCTAATATATTATAATATTAATTTATAGTTGAGAAAATTCCTGTTTTGAATGAACAGCATGTTAAAATTTATGAATGCGTCTGTGGGGTTGACCGCTGAATGTAATGGACTTGAGTCGAGGACGGGTTGTTTCATTGATAAAGAGCGGGGGGTTTGGCGGGTGGATGGAATGGTCTTTGGGTCTTTGTTTGGAGGACGGGCTGGTGGCCCAGGTGGCGGTCGTGTCATGATATGTTTGTAGTGTTTCTCGTGCTAAACCTCTCCCTGGTATGTATGGCTCCACAGTGGCTTGACCTCAGTGATGCAGAGGTCATGACCTCCTCCGTGGTGGTAGGTATCACGTTACTGGTGAGGTCAAACAGGAGGAGGTCATGGGGTGACTGGATAAACTGCCGTTTTATAAGATTAATACCTACAAATGATGCAGTTCTTTCGCCAGAAAATTGGAGATTAATGTGGATTCCCGGGCAGGACAGAAACGACTGGGCAATGTTACTTTTCTCCTGATTCCTCTATTCACCTATCAGGGATGTGGTTGACAGTTGAGGTATTTATGGCAAGCCAAGCTGAGAGTAGAGTGAGTGAGGGAAGTTCAAGTTGAAGGTGGCGAGGAGGGCATGGTTGGGAAGGCGAGGAGAGCCGGCCTGGAGCCAGAGGTCTGCACGATAGTGTGATGTCTACCATTCTCTGTGGTTGGGTGATGGTGGTGGTGGGTGGCGGCCGCGGTGTTCCTGGCCGTGGCCGCCGTGCTGGGATCCGTGTCCACTGACCTTGTCTCTCCTGGTGTAACAGTTACAGTGATGGTGACGGCGGCGGTGTTCCTGGCCTTGGCCGCCGTGCTAGGGGTCTGCTCCTTCATCAGGACGCAATACTTCGAGGAGGAACACGAGACGCCCCCCATGAAACATTTCCTCTTTGTCGTCATATCAGTCACTCTCAACATGTGTAAGTAGCAACCTACGTACCTGTATGTATTTAGTTGTAAAAAACAGATAGCATGCTGACTTCTTGATTTACACGCATTTGGTTATGTCTATAAAATAAAATGTCTGTCTTCGACTGGAGGTTAGATACTTGCATCTAGCCTAATTCAATTTTGTACGGTGATTGCTCTTGGATACGTGCCCCGCATGAGCGGATCGTAGTCGATGCTAATGAATTGAATACCACAGGGCATAGTTCCATAGTAACCCCCTCCACGACTCTTGCTTTTACATTATAGATCAATAGTATCTTTTCTGACTGACGTTACCAGCTGTGGTAAATCCGGGTTTGGAAACAGGGATGTTGATGTATGGGACAAACTGTCTGGTAACGCAATGTGCGTGGGGTCGCTGGAGTGTTTTGCGTTGGGTACACACATGTATTAATGGGTTTGTGGGCCTATATATAGGAGCTACCTCGCATGGGTCAATAGGAGGTCCCTCGTAGGGGTCAATAGAAACTGCCTTCCAATGGTGGATAGGAGCCTCCCATGGCCAATAGGCCTAGTGCAGTTTCTACAACTTGCATAAGCCTACTCTGGCGTGCTAGCTATTTATTCAGTGAAATTTATACATTAATTTTTAGTTTAGCTTGTGGCGTTTGATAGGCTTGTAATAAAACTTGATGTGTTTGTATAATAAGCTTCAAATTTAAATTTCAACAAGAGGTAAAATATTTTGCTAAAATCAAATGATTCTCTATTTTGATAGTCAAATAATAGTTAAAACTAAACATTGTTGCAGAAAGCACCGCGTGTGCACAGCTCTCAAACACCCTCCAGTACTGTTGTGACGAACATGATCTGAATTGTAATTGTAATTGAAATAAGTTTATTGAGGTAAAATACCCACAAAGGGATGAGATAGCTCAAACTATCCTCACCCCGTTCAGTACAACGTGTTCATACATACATTGACACATCACAAACAATAAACATATTACCGAACATTCTGAGAGATAAACATATACATTTCTTCCTTTAAGGAACATGATAATGTTTGTTGTGTTGCAGGCGGACGGATCGCGTCCATGGCCATGGTGGCCGCGGTCGTCAGCTGGACGTGGATGGTGGCAGGCATTGCCGCACCCATCGTCTTCAATTACGGCTTCTGTCTATACATCACGGACCCCCTCCATGGCAAGAGTAAAGTCAGGCGGTTTGCTCGGTGTTTCATGCCGCTGCCAATCGCTATGCTGTACTCGCTGAGCGTGTCGCCCAAGAAGATCACCACGGTAGTGACCACCTGTCTCTGGCTGGGCATGTCGCTGCCACAGGTGGTGGAACACCACGATACTGTGGTGCAGGTAGCGGCCTGGGGAGTGCCCTTCCTGGCCCAGGTCTTGGCACTCATCGTCATGCTCTACAAATGGAGTATCTTAAAGAAAACATTTACCAGGTTTGGACGACTACTTAGCGAGCATATTGAGAAGGAAAAATCTAGACAAACAAATGAAAAGAACTCAAATAAATTAGACGATGATCACCTAACTTATTTGCCGAAATAAATAAATTACTGTACTAAATCTACGGAACTTGGAGAAGGAAAAAGTTCTTATGATAATTAAATATATATATGTTGTAATATGTTTTAATTAAATTGTCTAAGGCTTAACCCTTAGCCTGCGTCTCATGTCATGTAACAGATCTTTACGGGATCAAATTGCACCACACGTCATGTAATGTTAATTAATAGGAATTATTAAGAATTAGCTGCTACTTATAAATCCCTATAATTATCACGATAGCATGTTAATCTGGCTATCACGTATAACCAGGTGTAGCTATCACGGGGGCCTGACAGCTGAGTGGACAGCACTTCGGATTCGTAGTCCTGAGGTTCCGGGTTCGATCCCCGGTGGAGGCGGAAACAAATGGGCAGAGCTTCTTTCACCATGATGCCCCTATTACCTAGCAGTAAATAGGTACCTGGGAGTTAGACAGCTGCTACGGGCTGCTTCCTGGGGGTGTGTAACAAAAAGGAGGCCTGGTCGAGGACCGGGCCGCGGAGACGCTAAACCCCGAAATCATTTCAAAATAACGATCATTACACAGAAAGAAAATAAACCTAGTTAGGCGTTTATATTAAAAAATCATTAATTAGAATAATTTTGAAGCCTGTGGACTCATTCAGCCCAAGAAAATATATAATATTTATTAAATTAGAGACTATTTATAGTATTTTAATACAGTCGGCCATATTAGGCCGACTATATTAGGCTTGTCTCGTTCGCACAAGAAAAAACAACAACAATAAGAGCTAACACTTGAGCTAAATTTCAGGAATTGATATCGATATTAATTTCAAATTACTGTATGTTAAATGTTGTATACCCATAGTACCGTATATGGAACAAATATTTATATATTTCTTTTCTATATTTTAATTCCTGTTTTCTGAGAGGTGTACCCAGCTTATCGGTGTATGTAAACTGAGGTATACCCAGGTTCTCGGTGTATGTACACTTAGGTATACCCAGCTTAACGGTGTATGAAAACAAGTATACCCAGCTTATCGGTGTATATACACTGAGGTATACCCAGCTTTTCGTGTTTCGTTATGATCACCGTGTAAATACAGCTCTCCCACCTTCAAGAGACGTTTAGCTCCACCCTACACATGTGCTAGACGGCCAAGACAACATTTTAGCTGATGGGGACCAAGTACAAGTTGCACCATTTTACTGTAGTTTTTGTTCTAGTGACTTCAAAGGGGGGCAGCCTAGCCGCATTTGTTCCCCAAAATGGCGCCTGTATCAGGCAGCAGGAGGCGGAGTCCTGCCAGAGTAAGGGACACGAACGGGAGGTGAGATTGGGGGCAGAGCAAGAGTGATAGCCACTCAGCAAGTGACCTGAGGTGACGTCACGGGTGGTCAATGCTTAGGAGCAGTTAATGTCAGGTCAAACATGATGAGGAGCGGTGACAACTGGAAGTGGTCCAGAGTTATCCTACTGGAGAGAGCCTGGAGGATGTTGACAACATTGTCAGACATGTAGTGAGAGGAGAGACGTGACAGGAACTGTGGCAGCGCCTTGGCAAGAGCGAGCACAGGTTCTTCACTCCAGCAGTTATCAGCTGTTAACTAAGTGAAGCTTTCCATTACACCTTGAAGTCAGGTGTTCCTATAAGGAACAAGTAGGGTTAATGTTTATGATTGTTATTATCAGGATGTGTTAGGATGCATAAATGATTTTATATATTGATTATGAGTGATATGTTATAATATTAGAACTGACGTTGTGGCCTAGTGACAAATATAAGATTTTGGAGATCTGTCTGGTATATTTTAAAGTAACTTTTTCTAAGCTTATTATTGATTTGTTCAGTGAAGTACTAACTATTTGTCAGAGGTGGAAGTATATCACAAGGGGATACTTACTAATAAATTAAACTTTGAGTTAACTGAACCAAGTGTGATTATTTAAATTTATATTATTGGTAGATGAGGCTTCTCTGAAGGTTATGTATATAATTCTGTTATTATTAAATGTCATTGTTGTTTAAAATGTGTTTGCCAATCCCCTCCAATTTCATTGACAATGCCATGGTATGAGTTTAGGTTGTGGTAAACCCACAGTCTACAGAGTACACTATGAAGTTAAAAACAGACTGAAGGAATTCGGAACATAAATTGGAGAGGGACTAGGCTGACGGCAAGAGGAGGCGGCCGTCGCACCAACAATGGTTCCTGGCAATGTGTGTCAATACCGGACATTGGCCACAGGTAAACCAGGAACACCGCAGTGATGTTGTCGACGCTGCCAGTTCAAGTAAGTTTATTGAGAAAATAAAGTACATCTCAAAAGGATAGAGTAGCTTAGGCTATTTCTACTCTCGTCCGCGGCCAGTGAAGACCAGCTAGAGGAGGCCAGCAAGTACAACAGGGGTATCCTTGTCTCTGAATTTGTTTATCTGCCTCTTGGAGAGCAGACTGAGGTTCCATTCCTTGGCACTTTAGTTTGGAAGTGTTCACCCCAATGAATGAAAGCTGACGGTGTAACCCAGCGAGTGGTTTACCCGGGTTTACACGCCATTACACTCATTATCTCACTCTTATCATCCACCGGAGATATTTGGTGGTCCTGGCAGTCCTCGGGGGAATTGTTAAGTCTCTGAGGTCACCGGGTGAGGCAGGAGACATGCGCCTTACACATTCGGTACCTCGACAAAAACACGGAGGTAGTAGTTTATGAAAGAGGTACCGCAACAATATATACCGATGTGTACCTTCCTTATCGGTGCATATAATCTGAGAGGTGTACCTGGACTGTGTTCAGGACGAAAGTATGTTTGCTGGTTGATCATTAAACTATTGTGGTGGCGTTAATAAGCCGAACATCAAACCAGCAGGCCTAGGGTCTTGGGATGTACTAGATAGTAGACCTAGAATCCTGGTTGAAGCACTAAAGAGTAGGCCTAAGGTCTTGTATGATGTACAAAACAATAGACCTAGAGTTCTGGATGAGGCAGCAGACAAGAGGTCGAAGCCATGTAGTTAGTTAGACAAGTGTCGGGTTGTGTCCTGAGGAAGGTCAGTGTAACAACACACCAGGTTTCTGGGGGAAGGGGGGTGCTCTGGGGCTAAGAGAGGATCCTAGGGTGTTCAAGCATGGCTGCAGAAAGGCAACACTGTTACAAAGGCAACACTGTTACAAAGGCAAGACCTCCAATTGTGAGGTCGTGGACCCATTATAAATTGTCAGGTTACAAATGGCTATGAAGAGGGCAGTAGTGCAAATGACCTACCCCTCCGTGCTGAAGCAGCCTTCGTCTATGAGGCAGAAAATTAATCTTATTTTTGATTGGTATGTACTCGCCTAGTTGTGCTTGCGGGGGTTGAGCTCTGGCTCTTTGGTCCCGCCTCTCAACTGTCAATCAACTGGTATACAGATTCCTGAGCCTACTGGGCTCCATAATACCTACATTTTAAACTGTGAGGTGTATGTGATGAGCGGATCAGTACCTATAAGTTAGACACTGCGGTACATCCATCAAGAGCAATGTTATTCTCACCAGCACCCACTCTTTCTTCCCCCTCTGCCAGAGTCACACTAACTCTCCTGTCACTGCCTCAGGTGGGCGGCCTCTTAGGTGGGGCGGTGTGTTGTGGGCGTGGAGGTGGGGCGGTGTCTGGCGGGCGTGGAGGTGGGGCGGTGTGTTGTGGGCGTGGAGGTGGGGCGGTGTCTGGCGGGCGTGGAGGTGGGGCGGTGTGTTGTGAGTGTGGAGGTGGGGCGGTGTCTGGCGGGCGTGGAGGTGGGGCGGTGTGTTGTGGGTGTGGAGGTGGGGCGGTCTTGCTCTGTTCATGTGTAGTTCGTATGTTCCAGGTGTTTCCACTCACTTTTCATCTTTGTGTTACTCTGGGCTTGACTTCTGGTCGTCATGCCAGCGGTGTTTGGGTACATGGTGTGGTAGTCCGGGTCAGTGAGTGCCCTGTTTAGTGAGGTAATGCCGAAGCAGTGATGGAGTGTCTCGGCTTCGACTCCTCCGGTGTGATTTCTTCCCGAAATTTTGTGCTCCATTCTAGGATCTAGAAACGTTTATTTTCCGGTAAAGCTGCAGTCTCGTGATTACTAATGAAAGTGTGAGATCATATTCGTCAGGGACGGATGCGGTTCTTTGATCTTGGACGCCCAGGGTGGCGGGAAAGGAAGATGATTCTGTGACACTGAGTGTAGATTCTTTCTCCGTTAATGTAAAGTTTCCAAAGATATATAATGGTCAATGATGTATAATGTGGGTACTACGGTGGGCTGAGGTGCAGAACTTGGTGTTGCAAGATTAATGGGGTCCGCAGTTATTGCAGGAGCAGGTGCAGAAACACTGAGTGCAGGCGGGTTGATGGTGCAGGAGGGTTTTTTTTTTTTTTTTTTTTGCAGGAATATCCCTGCAAAAAAAAAGTGGGCCTAAGCCTCTGGCTGGCCCACTAAGTGTTGCTTGTTTCTGTTTTACTTGGGTTGATGGTGCAGGACCCGATGGTGCAAGCGTTTTGGCAGGAGTACGAAGTGCCTGGGACGATGTGGGTATATCACTGAGCTACAGGTGACAACACTTAATTCCTACTATCACACGTAAAGTAACATCCTTCAGCTAACACAAGACTGCAATAATCACCTGAGAGCTCTTGTTAATTTAACTTGCTCAACATCGATGCATTAACTTATGAGTCAAATAATATTAAAGTGTACAAATTGCTGAGTGAGCACAATATATCCAGTCAGCTTGGTATACCAGCCAGTCCTCATCAACACAGGTCAAATGCTCGTTAGACCAGCCGCCAAACTCCTCCGTTTATGAATGAAAAACTGTTTACACACGACTCACAACTGATGACGTCCGAACACTTCCGGAACAAGTGCTTCACTGATGACTTGTTCGAACCACAACGCTGTAAATGCTTCACCCACGTACTACAAATACAAATAATCGCCAACAGAACCTAAACACTTAACCTAACCCTAACTACAGTGTACATAGAACTTTAATTAATAATGTTAATTTATATACGACAAGAAACCTATTTTAAATACAGAGTATGTTAAAATTTTTGAATGCGTTTTGGAGTCCTCGTAATAGAGCGTCGGATTTTGACGTATTGACGTATTGACGTATGACACTTAAGGCCAAAAATTGTCTAGAATATGGAAGCGGGTGGCGAAAATGACATACTGTCTCGTCTTCAGTGTTGGGCCCTCTGGCAGGTTAGGATAAGGGCACTTTAGTACGACGGTTTCTCGACATTGGGAAATTTTGGGAGTACGGGCGGCTTGGGGGGACGGCCGCTGCATTAACGAGCCTGGCGTGAGGACAGGTTGCACATGCTCCACTGAGAGTTTACACCTGTGGCAAAGGCTGTGTAACCGTCACTGTATTCATCACTATCTATATATTGAATTACTTTACTTATGTTTACATGTTGA